GAGGTAGGGAGTGGGTGGTCCCCTCTCCCACACTGGCATCTGTTTAACCCATCTTGAGCCAGGGTTTCTGAGAGACTGGAGAGCAAGGTAGTCTCCTCTTCTCTTGAGCTCTTTGCAAAGTAGCAGGTAGGGAAGGCTGGATCAGATAGATTCTCACCCTTGGCTTACCTGCTTGAACAATATCTGGGGGCCCTGCTGGTGCCCAGAAGATTGAGTTTCCTCTCCTGGCCACTGAGCCTTCCTGTGTGGATAGTGAACACCCCTCTGTCTTCTCCTTGGTTATCTCCCCTCTCCCATGCCAAGTTCCCACCAACTGAGGGCGAGCCGCGAGTGTGGGGTGCGCACTACAGCCTCTGATATGATAACCTACTTCTCCTTATCCTGGTGGCAACGGGAGAGGGTTCAGGGAGATCGGCAGGGAGGGATGAATGTGCTGTAAGTAGGGCAGAGCCCCTGGGGGCTAGGCATGGACAGTGTTCACAGGTGCTGGGCTAAGCAGTCTCCCTGGAGGAGGATAACCCAGGGTGGGCCTGCTGGGATCTGTCTTTGCCTTGCTGCCTTCTCTCTCTCTCTCTCTGTCTCTGATCTCTCATCACAGAGCATACATTCTGACTCAGGTAGTGTGCTGAGCAGCCCGGGCAGAGTAGGAGGAGCCCAGAGGGCAGTGGGGGCAAGCCCGGTGGCCTGGGGGGGTAACCTGCACTCTCTGCCCTTTTTCCAGGTGTGGGTTGGGAGCAGCAGCGGCCTGCCGCCCCTGGAACCTCTTCCTAGCGACCTGCCATCATGGGACTTTGCCCAGCCTGCTTTGTGGAGGTCGTCCCATTCAGTTCCTGACACCGCCTTTTCCCTTTCTCTAAAAAAATCATTCCCAGCCCTTGAAAACCTGGGCCCAGCACACTCCAGCAACGCTCTCTTCTGCCCAGCTCCGCCAGGATATCTGAGGCAGGGCTGGACCGCCCCAGAGGGAAGCAGGGCCTTTACCCAGTGGCCTGTTGGCTAGCCTGGGCCTCCCTGGAGAGGTTTGACAGTGGAGGGGAACAGGAGTGGCAGCTGGCCTGAGACCCCTGCTTTTGGGAGAGGCTAGCAGGGTTACAGTCCTGCCCACCATGTGCAGCTCCTCCCTGGGCGACTTGGAGTCTTTCCCATCTCAGAGCCCCCAAATGGGGGTAGCAAGGAGCACCTTTCTGGATCCCCCTATAGCATCCAAGTTTCTTTCTGGGCTCTCTTGCCTTTTCCCCCCTTTCACAGGTGGCACACCTGGGTATCTGTCCTTGCCTGTGTGATTTTGGAGTTTGGTGCCTTCCTGGGAACTAGCCAGTAGTTCTGCTTCCCCTCCCCTGGCATCACTTCCCATAGGCCTGGGGTTTCTAGACTGGGGCCTGACCACTCCTCCCCCCACTCCAGGAGTGAGTTGGCCTCCAGAGAAGACTCTGGCACAATTCCAACTAGAGTTAACCCATGCTGCCCTCTTCCCTTCCCACTCAGATCTAGCTCCTGCTTTCATTTCTGGCTAGTGAAGTAGACTTTTGTGTTTTGAGGTTTATTAGCAAGTCTGCTCAGGAACTAAACTAATGAGTAGCTTTATATTGGGCCACCCCAATATATGGCTTTGGGGGCTGATAAAGCAGATATAGACCCCCTTCCTGGGATCCCACTGGTGTGCCCTTTAGCACCCCGCAGACTCTGTGGGGTGAACAGGAGTGATGATAAAATTTTTCATTCTAACATTTGAGGCTTTGTGTGTTTTGTCCTTGGTCTGTGTCGTAACACTGACATCACTGTCCCTTGGTGTACAAACGCGCTCCTGCCCTGCCCCTCCAACATACACTCTCACAGACCTGCTGGCCCCACCTCCAGCCCCATAGCCAGAACTTCCCTAACAGAGACCCAGCAGGTGAAGACGTGCTGGCTCTCATGCTCTGGGCTGGCTAGCTGGGTGTGCCTGGGCTTGGTTAAACAGCAGGGGCATCTGTTTGGCATGGTGTGGGGATGCTGAAAACATCAGAGGTGAAGAGACATCTCTCTGAGAGTTCATTCCTTGGGCCCCCCACTGACTAGGCACAGTCCATACCTCTCATCCCCTCCTGAGGCCAGAGAGAAAGAGGCCAGTTCCAGAGACTGGTGCCACAGGGGCAGGAAGCCTCAGGCTTGACAGTGGGATGTCTCCTTGGGGCTTGGCCTAAGTGTCTTTAACTGGCCCAGATGCCCTAGGCACTGCTGGATTTATGAGCTTAGTGGGCTGGGACATTTCCCCCACTTGGAGTTCAACCTGAAGCTGAGTCTGGAGCAGTTGAGATCTCCTCCCTAGCTTTCACTGGCCCCACTTCTTGGGGGCTGGTTAGAGAAGGATGAATTGAGATGGGCATATGCTCAAGAAGAAGGGGGCCAGAAAAGCGTAGAGAGCTGGACCTTAATGCATTGCCCTTACGAGTTTTCCAGGGCTGTGGGAGGAGGCCGCTTCAGACTACCCTTGAGGCTTCCAGAGTTCAAGAGCCACCAAGGGTGGGGGTGTGCACTAGTGCCTTTGGTACCATTTGGGCCCCATTCCCAAGCTGCTCAATCCTTAGGAAGAAAAGCTTTAGGAAATCTGTGAAGGCAGCAAGACTGGGGCTTAGTGTTGAGTGGTGATGACCTGCACTCAGGGAGAGTGGGCCATGACCTGGCAGGCATGGCCCCTAACTACAGCAGGGTGTCTAAGCGCAGGGCTGCGGGCAGGGCAGCTCTTTTGAGTGCCACAGGCAGTCACAGCATTCTGCCCCTGGCTTGATCTCTTCACATCAGCCTCTATCTTCTCTCTTATCTCTAGGACAAAGAATGCTTTTCTCCTGAGGCCCCAGCATGGAAGTTCTGGATGTTCCCTTTGAGATCTGTCTCCCTCCACCCCTTCTCTTCTGGGTTGTGTAACCAAGCTCTTTCATGTTCTGTGTTGTCTGAACTTAACGCTGTGCCTAGACTTCGGACTTTCACAGGCTCCCCAGAAAACCTGGGGACTGCAGCCACAGAGGGTCAATCCTGGCACAGAGAAGCCAACAATCACTTTAGCTTGGCTTTGTAACACAGGGAAAGCTTTTGTCATGTTTGTGTTTTTTCCCCCAGCAGCAGATTTACATTCCTAATTCTGTTTGCTCAGGCAAAAGTTAGCTTTCATTCCTTGAGAGATAATCAATGGAGGACAGGCTGGGGGAAGCCAGCCCGGTCTGAGATTTTAATTTTGCTTAGCTAATCTCCAAATGGATAAGCCACTTGTGGATAACTGAAGTTTGGCTGTCTATCATCTTTAGGTAGCAAAGCATGACAGGCAAAGCCTTTAGAGAACAGATCCCAAAAGAAGGTTGGCAAGAGAAACCAGGCATCTCTTTCCTATCCCTCTTGTGGCTCCTTCTCCTAGGGACTGTGGAGGACAGAATCCTGGATGTGCTTTCAGCCCCTGCCTCAGCCTCCCAAGTAGCTGGGACTGTAGGCATCCGCCACTACGGCAAGCTAATTTTTTTTGTATTTTTAGTAGAGATGGGGTTTCACCATTTTGGCCAGGCTGGTCTCGAACTCCTGACCTTGTGATCTGCCCACTTCGGCCTCCCCAAATGCTGGGATTACAGGTATGAGCCACTGCACCTGGCCTCAGCCTCATTTTCTTACACTTGATCCACTTGTTCCTGTGAGTTCTGAGGCTTAGAACATATTCTCTCTCACCATTGGAGGGGTGATCTTTGGGTCACTGCCTGGCAGAGCTAACTCTTGTTCCCAAATAAACCAACAGGTGCACCTCTCTTTCCTGGGGTGGAGTGTTCATGCAGCCCCTGCCCTGGTTTACTGATTATAGACTGCTGGGCTGTGCAGAGGCTCTGAGTGTTTTCTGCCACTGTGGCCTGTCACTGGGTCATGAGGTCCTTGGCTGGGGTGGGGCCCACCTGTGCCATGAGAGCAAGCATCCATGGTGCTTCTTTCTTCTTTTTCTTTCTTTTTTTTTTTTTTTTTTGAGGCGGAGTTTCGCTCTTGTTACCCAGGCTGGAGTGCAATGGCGCGATCTTGGCTCACCGCAACCTCCGCCTCCTGGGTTCAGGCAATTCTCCTGCCTCAGCCTCCTGAGTAGCTGGGATTACAGGCACGTGCCACCATGCCCAGCTAATTTTTTGTATTTTTAGTAGAGACGGGGTTTCACCATGTTGACCAGGATGGTCTCGATCTCTTGACCTCGTGATCCACCCGCCTCGGCCTCCCAAAGTGCTGGGATTACAGGCTTGAGCCACTGCGCCCGGCCCTCTTTTTTTTTTTTTTTTTTTTAAGAGAAGTCTCGCTCTGTTGCCCAGGCTGGAGTGCAGTGGTGTGATCTCGGCTCACGGCAATGTCTGCCTCCTGGGTTCAAGCATTTCTCTACCTTAGCCTCCCACGTAGCTGGGATTACAGGTGCCCGCCACCATAGTCAGCTAGTTTTTATATTTTTAGTAGAGACAGGGTTTCACTATCTTGGCCAGGCTGTTCTCAAACTCCTGACCTTGTGATACATCCGCCTCGGCCTCCCAAAGCGCTGGGATTACAGGTGTGAGACACTGCGCCTGGCCCATGGTGCTTTCTAACTCACCTACATGCTGGAATTTCCTTGCACAAATCTGTTCAACGTTCCCTTTTAGAGTCCTGGCTGCCAAGTACTATACACTGTGTTATAAAGGATGAGTACCTTTCACTCTCCAGAAGCTCTCTCTCCTGAATCTGGAGATGGTAAGAGCACAGGCTGTTGGACAGGTTCTTAGTCCAGCTGTCTCATATCCTCTCAGGGCCTCCACTGGCCCAGCCGTGAACTGGGAGGGATCAGAATATCCCAGGGTGGCCAGGAGGATTGGTAGAGTATTGGCCTGGCTGTGGTGAGGGTGGGTGTGCTAGACTTTCTTTAGTAGCTGAGTCTTGTGTTTTAGGCAAGTTCACCTTCTAAAGTTAGTTGCCTCATTTGTGATATGAATACACTGAATATATAAAACGGATAAAAGCAGTATTTCATTGCTACAAATTCAAATGTGTAATGTTTACTTAAAAAGACAATGACAGAAGAGCTAGGTAAGGCTGTGCTAATGTACACAGATATTTGGGACTAGGGTAGTAAACAGTGGTGTCTTCTACCTTGACGGCGTCGCATGTGTTTGTTTCTTGCTTTGGTTGTACGGTAAGGAGATAGTTAGCTGTCTGTATGTGGTGACAGTGTTCAGACTCTTACCTTGAGCTCTCAGGTAGGTTCTCAGGATGTGCTTCTGTTAAAGAGAGATGGCAAGGGCAGTTCCATTCTAGCACAAGGTAGTCTTCAGTGGGTTACCATTTGATCTGTAACACATTTAAAGGTGAATGTTGCTTTCTCTTACAGTTCTATAACAGTAAACACACACACAGAAAAAAAGAAGTGAGTCAGCATTGACTAGAACCCCTGAAACATCTCCCTGGTACCAAAATAGCTTGAAAGCCAACAGATACATCTCTTCTCAGGGCTTTCCCCATATTCTGTGACCCCCATGGCTGGAATGCCTTTGTAAGCTCCAGCTGAGGAAGGGATGTTGTTGGGAGACTGATCACTGATACTAAGCCAGGTCCTCAGGTACAGGAAATCCTGCCAACCTGGGTCCTTTCAGGGTGCTGGTTGTTCTGACCTTCAGCTCCTGACTCATCCAGCTTGGGGGCCTGGCTCTGAGCTGGTTCTCAGTTCACACCACAGCTTTCCAAAGCCACACTCTCTTGGAGGGTAATCACACAGCTTGCCTCAGAGGGCTGCCATCAGGATGGGTTGCATGAGATAAGTGCCTCTGAAAGGCTAAGCATGGTGCCTGGCTGGCACATAATGTATCATCATCTTTGCTGTCACCAGCACTTCCCCAGCTTAATGTTTCACAAACACTTTTTTGAGTGTAGTTTTGCTTTTTGCCCAGGTTAGAGTGCAATGGCATGATCTCAGCTCACTGCAACCTCTGCCTCCTGGGTTCAAGAGATTCTCCTGCCTCAGCCTTCTGAGTAGCTGGGATTATAGCCATGTACCACCACTGCCGGCTAATTTTGTATTTTTAGTAGAGATGAGGTTTCACCATGCCGTCATGTTGGCCAAGCTGGTCTTGAACTTCTGGCCTCGGGTGATCCAGCCAACTTGGCCTCCCAAAGTGTTGGGATTACAGGTGTGAGCCCAGCCAAATTTTTTTTTTTTGGGGGGGGGACAGAGTGTCACCTTGTTGCCTAGGCTAGAGTTTAGTGACACAATCTCAGCTCACTGCAACCTGCACCTCCTGGGTTTGAGTGATTCTCCTGCCTCAGCTTCCCAAGTATAGCTGGGATTAATAGGCGTCTGCCACAATACCTGGCTAAATTTTTTGTATATTTAGTAGAGACAGTGTTTCACCATGTTGGCCAGGCTGCTCCTGAACTCCTGACCTCAGGTGATCCACTCACGTCAGCTTCCCAAAGTGCTGGGATTACAAGCGTGAGTCACCTCGCCTGGCCCACAAACGCTCTTGAAGCCTCTGGCCCTTGTTCTGTATGCTAATTCTCACGTCATCAGAATTGCCACTAACTTTTGTTTTGTTTTGTTTTGTTTTGTTTGAGATGGAGTCTAGCTCTGTCACCCAGGCGGGAGTACAGTGGCACAATTTCAGCTCACTGCAACCTTCGCCTCCTGGGTTCAAGTGATTCTCCTGCCTCAGCCTCCCAAGTAGCTAGGATTACAGGCACCCAACACCACGCCCAGCTAATTTTTGTATTCTTAATAGAGATGGGATTTCACTGTGTTGGCCATGATGGTCTTGAACTCCTCACCTTGTGATCCGCCTGCCTTGACCTCCCAAAGTGCTGGGATTACAAGCGTGAGCCCCTGCGCCCAGCTGCCACTATCATTTTATGGGCTGCTTTTAAAATTAAAACTCACAAAAATATTATGAAGAATTATCTCTCTACATTGTCTTGCCTTTCCTTTCCATTTCCCTGGCCAAGACTAATGTCACTTTTGAATAAAATGAAGAAGTAGAATTCTTTGTATAAAACAACTAGGGAAAACCCAGGGATAGAGAACAGGAAGGCTGGTTTATATGCCAATAACTCATCTGTAAGTTCATGTAAATATAATTCTGTGCATTATAGCCAATGCACCTAAAGTCAATTCTCAATGTCTAAGGATGAGCAAATGTATAACTCTTCATTGTGTAGAGGGGTATAGAACTTAGCTTGCCATGTCCTGGGCACATTTCCAGTAGTCATTTAGTTAGTACCAGTGATTTCCACTCAAGTGTCCTGTAAGGAGGCACCATGGGAAATAAGAACAGCTGCTTGGCATTCTGGGTAGAGAGCCTGAGCCAAACTCTAAAGCTCCCTTTATAAAGGGAGGTCATGTGATGGCCAGAAATTGCTCTTGCTTCATGGTGCACTTGGTGGGGAGTCAGGTGTGGTGTGCTGGGTTTCACCTCATCCCGTTTTCTTTTCTGCCTTCAGACTTGCAACGCTTCTTTTGCCACCCGAGACCGTCTGCGCTCCCACCTGGCCTGTCATGAAGACAAGGTGCCCTGCCAGGTGTGTGGGAAGTACTTGCGGGCAGCATACATGGCAGACCACCTGAAGAAGCACAGTGAGGGGCCCAGCAACTTCTGCAGTATCTGTAACCGAGGTAAACTGCTCACTGTTTCCTGACTTCCAGAGGATGGGCCTGAGCGTGTATGGGAGGCCTAGGGGTGTCTTGATGACCCTGCCTCAGACTCCACACAGCCCTTCCCTTCCCACTGAATGATAAACATCTTCATCACCCAGCTAGCTATTTGTGACCCCTTCCTTCCCAAGCTTGGAGTGCTTAGAATGGGAGGTCCCAGGAGACCAGCAGGTTGGAATGGAAGGAGAGAAGTTCTTCCCAAGCTTGGGCCCATAACTCCCACCTGCTACTCAGGTGGCAGGATGGATGCATTTAGCAGACACCACTGAACTACTGAGGTTGGTCGGGGAGTTAATAGGTCCCAAAGTGGGAGAAAAAGAGGTCGGTCTGGCTTGAGAGCTTTTGTTGCTGGTTGATTCACTGGCATATGAAATTCAGCAGCCAGGGAAAGAGGCTGAGTCTGGAGATAAACAAGGAGCAGTCATTTGCTAGCACAGGTGGTCAGAAGAGAGCCCAAACTCAGGTAGATTGTGGCCTTGATGGGAGAGGAAAGTGGAAGGTACTCTGAACAGGGCAGTGTGCTTGAGGACAAGGTGGGCCTAGGTAGTGTGTAACTCTATGGCAGTGGTGTCGTGTTGGGTGAAGTCAAGCCTGTCCCCAAGGTTCTGCCGGGTCTAGTTGGCTGTTGGAAGTGCTAGATGTTTGTGTTTGGCAAGCACAGCATCAGTGGAGGCTTGTGCTGTGTCTGTGGTAAAGGAGGTCAGAGCAGCTGTCTGTGAACATGAGGATGCTTCTGCATGGTGTGCATTGCTTTGACCAGGTGGGGAGGTTGCTGGGATGTCCTTATCTCCTGGGGCATTTTTGCTTGTTGCAATGCTTCTGAGAGCCTGGGGTATGGCTTAGTGGGTTGAGCACTGAACCAGGAATCAAGAGACCCAGGGTTTTGTCTCAGCCTCTCACTAGGTGGCCTTGCGTTCTCCCATTCCCTCTCTAAGCTTCAGTTTCTTTCTCTCTCAAATGGGGTTAAGAATACCCCCCTTTCCCACCTCACAGGGTTATTATGAGGATCCCAAGAGACAAGGTAGGTGAAAGGAGCTGCACACTTCGGAGGCCCTATCCTTGCACTTTGTAACAATGTTGGGAAAGACATGCTTGTTGACTCTCTGGGTTGGACCAGGCACAACACTCCTGCAGGCCTTGGTGGAATTGTTGGGTGCCCGTGCTGTGTTCATGTGCCCTGAGGTCCATGGTGGAAGGAGATTGCTGAGTAGCTGGGTGTTCTTGGTGTCCTGGAACTGGGTCCCTCCTTGCAGCTTCATACCTGCGGTTTGTACCACCAGGACACCTGCAGGGAGGTATTAGTAAAGGCCTTTTAAGCTGTCTGTTCTGTTTTCTGACATGTCAGTAGAGCCCACTTCTGACAGGAGCTTCCTCCAGGTTGCAAGCGGTGGGCTTGCACGTGTAGGGAAGAGTTATCGGGCTGTGGCTGACTGTCTTGACTGAGGCTGCTCCAGCCCTAGATGTTGTTTCTTGTCTTGCTTCATCCTAACCTGGCTTCCTGACAGCTCCCCCAGATAACTCAAAACTTGCTGGAACAGGGATTTTGCCAAGTTTTCAATGTGGAAGTTCCCAGTCTGAGAACTGGGGTCAGAGACCAGAGGCTGAAAACTGTTGAGTGGAGAAGGGTACTCATGATAAAACTCAGAAAGCCCAGCCCAGATGATGGAGTAGGGCAGGAACTGGACAGGAGATCCAGGGCCACAGCCCTTGGGAGCCCAGCTAAGGAGGAAAGAAGAACTGAGAGCAGCAGGGATAGTGGGAAAGTTGGCCCAGTTAGGAGGCAGCTGATGTTGCAAAGCCAACAACTATTGTATGTCAGGATTTCTTTTCTAAGGGCTGGTAAAGAGAACTTGGGCAACAGCCATAAGGGACATGACTGGAATGGAGAATCTAGAAGAGTAAACCAGAGTCTACTTTTTCTCAGAAAAGCCAAGACTGGATCTGATCACAGGCCAAACATCTTTGGTCCCAGAGCCAGAGTGGGAAGTCCCTTTCCTGCAAGAAGACTAAAGAAGGTTCTGGTCCAACCCATGCTGGGTACTCAGAAGGAAGAGAAAACAATTGCAGTTTTTATCAGAAGAGGAGGAGCTGGATTCTACTCCTGGACTCATTCCTTGGGCAGAAATAAGAAGAGACAAAAAAAAAAAAAAAAAAAGAAGAGGATAAAGTTCTTTCTGAGCACCAAAAACATTGAGATTAAGACATTGGAATCAGAACAGAGAGCTCTGTGTCCTCCTTTGCCCTGCTGCCACCAAGCCTATACCTATAAGAGGAGTTGCACGAATAAATGAATGTTCTTATCTCTCTGCATGCGTTCAAGCAAAGGCTAAATGTCAGCCAGCTGATTAGACCAGTTATGATTTAATCAGGTGAACTTCCAGGTGCCTTCAGATCCTTCAGTCCCAACAATTCTTAGTTGACTTGAGTATCTACCTATAGATCTGTCTTTTTCAGTCTTTGCCACAAAAACGACTCCTGGCTGTGAAGAATGGGAAAGAGGGAAGGCAGCCTGACTCCTGCAGCCTCACACGTGAGTCAGATGCAAGTTGGTGAGAGACAGATAACTCTGGCTTTATCATACAGACATATCAGGATGTGTATGATACTATTTGTAGAGGAAGATCATTTGCAGTAGAGGGAATATTATGGC